TGATACCCTCTGTTTTCACAGCAGGGAGAAGTCACTCAGCACATCAGCAGTTCAGGACTTGGAAGAACGCTGTAAAGCACTGTAGTACCACCAACCACTACAGTGTTTTATAGGATCCCCATAGTCCTCACCAGCTATAAAATATATATACTTGTAATGGGCCAAGCTGGACCAGTGTAAGTATACATGAATATTTATACTTGGAGTTCAGCTTTAAGAATAAGGTTAGCAATATCATTCATATCAATAACCCATTCACTAAAGGGTTAATTAAAATATAAATAAAGAGACCAGGCTTTTAGAAAAAAAATCCTTTAATTGAAAAAAAGTCCTTTATTGTTGATTGATCCAACGGCGTAATTCAGGGTGTCCACGCCGCCAAAATCGGCAAAATAAAAAATATAATATTTTTTTAAAAACCCGATGCACACCAACCCGTCTGCATGTGACAAACTCCCGCCGCAGAATGACATTCTGCATGATGCAGGCACAGTATAAACAATTGGGCGGAGCTAGTGGTGACATTGCCACTAGCTCCGCCCAACTGTTTACATTTGTCTGCCACCTAACAGTCTGAGCGCAGGTCCTGGACAAATCAAAACAAATGGGTGGAGCCAGCTGTGATGCCACAGCTGGCTCGGCCCAGTTGCCATTTAATGACAGCTCAGTGTCCTCAAAATACCTGAGGACGTTGATCTGTCATTGAAGGACAACAACTGGACGGAGCCAACTGTTATTTGTGGGGAGAACGGTCAGCTTTGGAAGACCTTTCTCCCTGCTTCGGCTGCGACTATGGTTTAGCCGAGCCAAAGCATATATGTGTTCGGCTCGGCTAAGCCGCTCGGCTGCTCTACAGGCTATTGTGAATAGCCCATACAGCAGCCCTTTGGTTCGACTAAACCAAAGGGTTCCAGCGGCCGAAGCGAGCCAAAGGATCAGCCGAAGCTACAGCTAGATCCTTCTGCAAACCAGCAGGTTTAGACTTTTTGTTTTCAGAAGACCATGCTAAATTAAAAACAAGCTGGTTTGCTTTTAAATATAAAAAGAAAATGGTATACATAACTCACATCTAAAGAACAGCCTTCTAAATGTAGAAAATATCTAGTTCTTTACAGTTCTCAAAATTCCCCATACTTCCACCATTTCCTATGGTTGTACTGTTTGCCAATAACATTGTGTACTTTTGGTGCTACCAGCTGAAGATCTAACTGTAGTTGTCAGACAGCACCATTACTGCAGTGTTTACTACAGGGGTTCCAAGCAGAGCACCTGTTTTAGGATAGGTAGGTAGTTCTCCTAAGGCATTCTTTGCCCTAGGGTCCAATACTGCTTGACGTTCTTGAAAACTATTAGATCGTCTACCTTTAGAAGCGGTAACATTTTGCAAAGTTTACCTGACTTAGGTTTATTGCAAATGATGCTATTTTCATGCAACTGGATGTGCAAGTAAACTGGATTCTCGAGGGAAATTTACATGCTCACAGCTGGTGTTGACTGATAGGCTGGCATATGCTTCCAAAAAAAATAATTAGAATGAATTTTCTAGTCTAATCAGAACTTGCTGCCCTCAAGCAGAAAGTATGAAGTCTGCTGTAAGGTTCTATTATTAGATGTCAAACGCATCTCATTATCACATCCCTGACAAGGTTAGCATGGAAAGTGTCAGAGTGAAAGAATTTTGGTAACAACTCTAGTTAAATTCCATTTCCTTCCCTCCAAAAAAATTAATAAAAAACAGCAAGGTAAGTGTTACTCAATATATCCAGATACATTAACATAATCTAGCTAAGCTAGGTATTTATTAGAAAAATGTCACTATAAGGGTGTCATATATTAATTCCAGAAATAGTCAAGTGTATCCTATATATCCCATTGAAAAACAGTGATATATTATAGCTCAGTTTACATGTAAGCCAGCACACTTCTAAAAGTGTACAGACTCCGATGAATGATGCCATCCATTCTCAACCTTCCATAGTATCTAAATGTCATAAGCACACTGTAGTGGATCAAAGGACAAACATTTATTCTGGTCAGACAGGAATATTTAATGGATTTAAAAGGACCCCTTTATCAGGGAAACAGTGACAGCATCATACACAAGACACAAGCATTAGATAGCCAGGTGAACCCCATTGACACCCACATAGGTTGGATTCATACTTTACATAGCTATTTAGATATTATTGATCACTCTTTTGGTTGCTAATGGTTTACAATTCTTTGTGTTGACGGGGAGGAGTCACTGGGGATAAGTTAATCCTTTTGAGGCCCTGAAATGTTGTGTTTGTGACAAGAATAAAGGTTTGTCCTTTAAATTACTATGGTGTGTTGGTGAAAAATAGATATTATAATACAGCTCATACCATATAGCAGGACAGCCAGCTGATTTTCATCAAAAGTCAAAACTTTTTTTTTTAGTTTTGGAGTAGCCAGGTTTGCTGCCAGGTTTTTATTACTTGGTTATGTGGTCACCGAGACAGGAGCAATATTTTTCCAACAGGGGTCCATACAGTAAAAAAAAAAGGAAAAAGTTTCTAAAGTCGACGGGGAAGGGTAAAAACCTAAGTTAGGTTTTTGCTGTTGTCAGTGTTGCTATAGGGGAGATCTTCTCATCTGCTGTTTTGTTCACCAGGACAGGAAGGGGAAATCTCCCCAAAAGGAACACAGACAGCAATAAAGCCTAACACATGTTAAAGATAACCATGTCCTACTCTAAACAAAAAGTAGAAATTATCAGGGTTATTCGCAAAAAGGTGAAGAGTTTGGAGAAGACAGGAGAAGTGAACAATCTAGGACAACATAGCTGAACTGGCCTCACCGTATACAGTTTTCTTAAAGCCGAACTCCAAAAAGTAAGTTTTATGCAAAGTTACATTGGTCCAGCTTAGCTTAATGCAAGTATACATATCTGATATTTAGAGGGCCACCAGGGATCCTAAAAATTAATTCCAGTAGTCTGTGCTACATACAGTAATAGCCTTTATTTTTTGGCTCCAGTGGTTTCCCCTTTGTACACTGAGCACAGTGAGTCGCTTGCTCAACACAAGCGTGTTTTTTGTGAGCAGATTGTGGCACATGCATGTAAATGGGCAAAAAGATATTTGCAAATTTTTGCGACCTGAGTCCTATCCGTGGCGGCGCTCTTCCGGAAGGGGGGGGGGTTGGAAAAAAAGGGGGGGATCTCTTTTCTTTTGGAAGTATTTGTTGGGGGTAATGAGGTGTGTGGAAGGGTGTGCTGCTTTAGTTTAAGTATGGACCGGGGTGTCCAACTTGTAAAGACAGAGCAGGAAAAACAAAAAAGGAGGTCTAAAGCACTACTACCCTTGCAGGCAGGGGGTGTTCAGGCCTGGGGGGCTTTGATGGAGGTTTGTGTGTCATCCAAAACTCCGTTTAGTGTTTAAAGGCGAGAGGGAGAGAGAGGTTAACAGATGAGGCATGAAATGCTGGTGTCAAGCAAGCAAGAGAGTGTAGTAACTCACCATGAGGTTTGCTTGCGTCTGCAATCAACGGCGTCCGGGTCTCTGCGATGGGGAGTTTCCTCTCTCTCCCTCTCGCCTTTAAACACTAAACGGAGTTTTGGATGACACACAAACCTCCATCAAAGCCCCCCAGGCCTGAACACCCCCTGCCTGCAAGGGTAGTAGCACTTTAGACCTCCTTTTTTGTAAATGGGCAAAAAGCGCACCAAAAAAAAAAGAAAAAAAAGCAACATGTTTTTTCAATCCTTTTCTATTGAGTCTATGGGACAAATTGTGCTGCAATCATGTACTATTTTGAGTGACAGGCATATTTCTGCTTGCAACAAAACTTACAGGTGTGAACAGGAGCCATAGAAATAAGTGTGATTCCTTGGGTGGAGCTTTTTGACACGCTGAATTACCTGTGACAATACACCAATGTGTGAATGGAGCCTAATAGAATGGCTTGCATTTTTCTAGATACAAGGCTTTTTTGATTGAATGGAATGAAGACGAGGGGCAGATGACATCACGAATACCACCTGATCCAGAAGTCTTTAAGAAGGAACATTTGCTTCACCCCTATTAAACTGATAAATATTGACCGTTGACATCACTGTAAAAATGTACCCATACTTGGATAGACTATTGGGTAGATTATTGACATGGTGTTCTATTACTGGTTAGTACATGATCATGATGAGCAGATCAGTATTGGTATTTGTCTGGGTAAGACAAAGACTAGTACACCTTTATGCAACAAAAAATGCTGACATGACAACATCTGCTAGTCTATACCATCAAAAAATGATTAGTTTAATATGGCCTGCCCTAACAAATCAGATATATTTAATCAGATTTTACAACACCTTTAAGCTTGCAAACATTTGTTTTGCAACATAGAACATGTATATCAACATTGCTGTCTCTAAAGAAGAGAGATATATTTTCTTATTAGTGTTGAAAATATATATTTATTATGTATGTATAATGTATCTATATCTATCTCTCTCATTAT